TCACCAGCTGCTGGTTTCGCCCCTTACCAGTCAGGCTGAAGAATTTGTTGTTAACGGACTTCTGAAAAGTTCAATTTTCCATGTTCTGGCTGTGTTTTCTGTTGCTAATATTTAGTTGTCTCTAAACTTGGTTGTGTGAGAAGGCACGGTACATCCACCTATGCCTCCATCTTGGGGGAAGTCCTCCCTACTTTAAAGTCTTATATTTGGTATTTTTTTATTGTAGGATCCTAACAATATATTGTTTTTATACTTGTCCTAGTGGAAGAATCCATTATTTTCACATCAGTTTGATATGCCAATTTATCATATTTTTTATTTTTTAAATATATTTTTAAAATATTTTTTATTTTTATTGTTGTTCAAATACAGTTTTCTGCTTTTTCTGCTTACCTCTCCCAGCACTGCAGCCTTCTCCACTTCCCTTCCCTGTTTCCATACCCCTTGTTTTTGTCCATATGTCCTTTATAGTTGTCCCTGCAAACCCTTCACCCTTTTCCCCATTATCCCCTTTTTTTCTCCACTGTTAGCTTGTACCAATTTGAATGTCTGTGGTTATATTTTGTTTGCTCGTTCATTTTGTTGATTAGGTTCCACTTACAGGTGAGATCATATGGTATTTGTCTTTCAAAGCCTGGCTTATTTCACTTACCCTAAGCTTCCCAGTTCCATTCATGCTCTCGCAAATGGTAGGGGCTCCTTGTTTTTTCCCCCCCTTCTTTCTGCTTTGTAGGACTCCATTGTGTATATGTACCATAGTTTTTTGATCCATTCATTTACTGATTGGCACTTTTATCATATTTCAGTTGTGTGTGTGTGTGTCTATTTCTGTTCTTTTTGTTTTGGTTCACTGAGCTGTGAACCTATTCTTTGAGCAATACCATAGTTTTTAATTACTGTTGCATTATGATGTGTTGTACTATGTGATAAAAAAACTTCCTTAGTTTTCATTTTATTATTTTCCAGCAACTAAAATTTAAAAAAAATAGCATCTCTATCTTGCTTCAACTGTCTTTATTGACTCTATAGAGTTAAATCATTTTTCTATATTTTTTGAGAAAGAGTTTTAATTGGCATTGTCTCATACTGTACTTTCTTCATACTGACTTAAGAAACCCTTTTGATTGAGGAACTACAGTCTGTTTTACCTGACTCTTTACCCACAAAATCTTTGTTTGTTTAATTTTATTTATTTATCTTTAGAAGGGAAGGGAAGGAGAGAAGAAGAGAAATATTAATGTATGGTTGCTTCCGGTGCATCCCCTGCTGGGAACTGGCCCCTGCTGGGAACTGGCCTGCAACCCAGGCACGTGCCCTGACGGGGAACTGAACCACGATATTTTGGTTCGCAGGCCCATGCTCAATCCACTGAGCTACACCAGCCAGGGCAAAATCTTTGTTTTTTAATCCTAGTGCCCAGCATGGCCATTTTTCCTCTACATATCTGTCTACCCATCTTTCAAAACTGAAGTCAAGGTATTTACCTTCACTACAGAGCTATGATGAACACACTGAGGCTCAAGGGAACCCTCCTAACTTTGAACACAATTGACTATACAACTCATTTTTACTTGGTAATTTCTACTGTATTATGGACTATAAAAGCTGCAGGCTATTTAAAGAGATCTTACTGTCTATCTGTCCTTTTACCAAAGAGAAAAATGAATCCCAGTGTATGGGAATGACATGTTCGTAATGATTAATGATTTGAGTGATTTAATTCCTGAGGTAAACTTGGGATGTATTTCTTGTATTTTAGAGCTCTTTCTATTACCAATGTTTGTGATATAATATTTCCACTATATTTTTTTTTGTCTGGGCCTAGGTTTTTTTTTTTCTTTAACTATATTGAACGTTCCTTAAAGGCAGGACTCAAGTCTACATAATTTTTTTCTACAACTCATAGTCCTAATGTTGTCCTCTTTGCTTATTTGATACCTAATCAATATTAACAGATATCGGTAAAAATCAATGTGTTCTGTTAACCAGATGTCAAATTGGGGCTCTTTCCTTGTGGGAATTCCTATTATAATTGCATAAAAAGTGGCATCTAGAGGTTGGTGTGTATATGACAATTGCTTTTAATTTTACACAGGTAATGAATTTAAAATTTTTTTCCTTTTACTTTTTTAAATTATATTTTATTGATTATGTTATTATAGTTGTCCCATTTTTTTTCTTCCCATTGTTCCTCTTGCCCTGTGCCTCACTTACATCCAGCATCTCCCTTCACCTTAGTTCATGTCTATGGGTTGCACGTGTAAGTTCTTTGGCTTCTCCATTTCCTATACTATTCTTAACCACCCCCTTTTTATTTTGTACCTATCATTTATGCTTCTTATTCCCTGTACATTTTCCACCATTCTCCCCTCATTCCCCTCTGATAACCCTCCATATGATCTCCATTTCTGTGCTTCTGTTCCTGTTCTAGTTGTTTGCTCAGTTTCTGTTTGTTTTTTAGGTTCACTTGTTGACAATTGTGTTTGCTGTCATTTTACTGTTCATAAGTTTAATTTTCTTCTTTTTCTTCCATAAGTCCCTTTAACATTTCATAAAATAAGGGCTTGGTGGTGATGAACTCGTTAACTTGACCTTATCTGGGAAGCACTTTATCTGCCCTCCCATTCTAAGTTACAGCTTTGCTGGATAGAGTAATCTTGGATGTAGGTCCTTGCCTTTTATGACTTCAAATGCTTCTTTCCAGCCCCTTCCTGCCTGCAAAGTTTCTTTTGAGAAATCAGCTGATAGTTTTATGGGAAGTCCTTTGTTGGTAACTGTCTCCTTTTCTCCAGCTGCTTTTAAGATTGTCTCCGTATCTTTAATCTTGGGTAATGTAATCATCGTGTGCCTTGGTGTGTGCTTCCTTGGGTCCTCCTTCTTTGGGACTCTCTGAGCTTTCTGGACTTCCTGTGTATTGAAATATTTATTTATTCTTCCATATTTACATTCCAGTCACCTTCATAATTTGATGCAACATGTTTTTCGAGAATTTTTTTCCATTGCTCAAAGCAGTTTTTGAACTCTTTGATTTTGATGCTTTTAGTGGTTCCTCCATTTTTTGTTTCACCTCTTCCACATCAGTAAAATGTTTTCCTTTGAGGACTTTCTTGTTTCATTGGGAGCACTAAAAATATATAGTCCTTTGGGGAGAGATTGGGTGAATAGGGAGGATAGGTCACGGGGTCATTCCGTTTTTGGTCAGTAACTGCTGAACACTCAGCAGGGTGTGGACAGGTGTGCTCATAAGTCACACTTGTGACTTATGAAATGACCCATGAAATGGGCATGTGCGTTGGAAAAGTTTTCCAGAAAAATTCACCAAAGCCTATCTCAGCATCCTACAACAACGCCGTATGGTTCACTAATACAGGTGGGTTCCTAGAACACTCAACTAATGGTGGAAGCCTGTACTACAAGGGGCCTGTCCTCCAGAAGATAATTTTGGTTTTTGGGGTCTCCTGTCATATATATCACATAAAAGATTCTCTTACTTGATGAAAAGCTTACTACTTTATTGTATATAAATACTGAGCTATCTACATGTGTTAAACTAATTAACTATTAGTTTTCCTAAGCAGTTAAGCTTGGGACCAGAGTAAAGTATTGTTCTGGGTGGAAGCAGTCATCTACTGTCTTCTTGTCCTATAGGTTCTTATTTTATAGGAGGATACTTTTCTGTCTTTAGGACCTTGGTTCTTAATATGAGTGAATTAAATTGTTAGTAGTGGCTATTATGAACATTTAAGTTGTGGGGACAGCTTTTACAATAAAGCTTGAAGCTGTTAAAGACTGAGCTACTAGAGATGAGACAGTGTTTATACTCCATAATTACTCATGAATGCAGAAAAGAAGCAACTTCAAGTCAGAAGGCATTTTTAACTAAGTGCCAAGGTTATTGCTATTATAGAATGATAGGTAATTTCTTACAGATGTTAGGAGCAAAAAGGAATTTTTAAGAGCTTACACAGTGGCAAATTATATTACAGAAAAGTTTCATGAATTCATTTTTCACTTTAAAATATATATGTTTTGCTTTAAAATTATAAAAAATATAATGGATGATGTGTTGGTAATGATGTGGAGAAAAAGAACCCATGTGCACTGTTGATGGGACTGCAAATTGATGCAGTCAGTGTGGAAAGCATTGTAGAGATCTCTTGATAAACTAAAAATAGATATATTATATGACCTAGCAATTCCACTCCTGAATACTTATCTGAAGCAAATGAAAACACTAATTTTCAAAGATATTTGCACCCCTATGTTCATTGCAGCATTATTTATAATACCCAAGATATGGAAGCAATGAAGGTGTCCATTGATAAGTGATTGGATAAAAAAGATAAGATATATACACACACATACAATGGAATGTTACACAGCAGTAAAAAAGAATGCAATCTTGCCATTTGTGACAATGTGGTTGGATATAGAGGGCATTATTCTAAGTTAAGTCAGGCAGAAAAAGATAAATACCACATGGTTCACTTATGTGAGAAATATAAAAAATAAACAAAAACAGTCTGATGGAAACAGAGACCAAAAGAATGATTGCCAGAAGGAAGGTGGTGAGGGGATGGGCAAAAAAGAGGAAGGGGAAAATGGTTAACAATATTGTGATGAGTTTGCATGGTGACAGATGATTGCTAGAATTAGTAAAGTGTGATCACATTGTGAAGTATAAACATGTCAGTTCTCTCTATGGTACACCTGAAACTACTATAACTAATACAATATTGTATAACAACTATACTTAAATAATAATAAAATTTACAATTATATTTGCTCATCGTGAAAAGTCCTAACAGAAATGTACATAGCAAACAGGTGAAAACTTCCCCAGAGGTAATCACTGTTTGCAATTTGGTATATAGCCTTTCAGATTTTGGGGGGTATATTTTTATAACTTTGGATTGTTGAATTCAGTTGACCTGTAAGTCACAGTCTGATGTTCAGGTTTATATTTAATGATTTTCTTCCTTATTTCTCTTTCTTTATAGGCTTGCTATGGGTGTTCTCCAGGATCAAAGTGTTACTGTAGTGCTGTAAAAGGAGAAAAGGTAAGATCTGAGATGGGACTTTGAACACATAGAAAAAACAGTAAAATAATGGTTTTAATTTTTTTAAAACATGGTTTCTTTTTTTTTAAGCTTCAAAATATTTTACTGAACAAAAATACATGCAAAAATTCTACAGTGCTTCTTTTTTTAAAAATTTTATTCAGTTATTTTTCAAGTACAGTTTTTTTGTCTATTTCTCCCATCCCAGCCCCCTTGCCCCTTGCTCCCCACCTCCCTCCCATTTCCACCCCCCTTAGTTCTCCTCCCTGTGTCCTTCCTATTTGTTCCTTCAAATCCATCCCCCTTTTTCCCCTTAATTTCCCTTCCCTCTCCCCTCTGGTCGCTGTCCCCTTGTTCTCTATTTCAGTGTCTTTGTTTTTGTTTTTGTTTTTCTCTGCATGCTTGTTTATTTTGTTGTTTAGCTTACATGGTTTCTATCTCAACACCTAATAAATATAATGAAGTCTACTATACTTCTTATTTTAGATAGTTGCCAGGATTAGACTATATCTCAGGGATCATAAAATTTTTTTATAAGACCATATAACAAATGTTTAAGGTTTATGACCCAATAAGGTCTCTGTCACATATTTCCTCTTTTATAATACCCCTTTAAATGTATAAAAAACATTTTTACCTCTGGAACTATATAAAATAAACTTCTGGCTGCATTTGACCTGGGAGCTACCGTTTGATAACCTCTGATCAATCCTGTTGAAAGCACTTAATAAACATAAGAAGGGAAAAAGCATTTAACAAGGAACTAAATATTTATCAGGATACTCATCTGTGCTGGATAGTGTGCTAGGCAATTTATGTATTTTACCAGTCTATGTAAATTAATACTTGGTGAATCTCTATTTTTATCTCACTTTTTTCACCACAGCACCTTTGTTGTGTACATATGATAATTAAAAAGTAAAGATTCATGAGGATTGAATATCATAAACCTAGTCACTGTGAGTCAGTTACTCACATTGAAATTGGAAGATTAAAAAGAGATAGTGAATTGTGGCCCTAAGAGAGTTGTAAGTAGAAAGGGGGTTATACTCCAGTCTCCATTCTTTTCAGATTAATAAATATTTTTGAATGTATGCTACTAATTATGTATTTGAAAGTTTGGGACATATCTCAAGAACATATTGTATTTAAGGATATAGAAGATTCACTAGCATATTAAACTGTTTAAAAGTCCTGGAGTAAAGAAACCTGTTTGTTTTGCAAAACTATATTCCCAAGCTACATTTGATCATGTAACCCACTTTTCTCTTTTACAATATTCCCCACTTATCCACCTTTCTACTTTCCATTGTTTGATTTACTCACAGTCCACTGAGGTTCAAAATACTACATGGAAAATTTGTAACTTTTAAACTGTGTGCCATTCTGGGTAGCATGATGAAATATTGCTCTGTTATGCTCCATCCTGTCCAAGACATGAATAATCCCTTTGTCTAGTGTATACATGCTGCATACACTATCTGTCCATTAGTCGCTTAGTAGCCATATCACCAGAAGGTCAGTAGTTGCCTGACACTACTTTACAAGGCCTACATAATTTACCTCACTTCATGTATCACATCATATTATCACAAGAAGGGTGACTATGGTATAGTAAAATATTTCGAATGAGAGAGACACTGTATCTATTTTTTATCCTCACCTGAGGATATTCTTACTGATTTGAGCAAGAAGGTAGGAACAGAGAGGTAGAGAAATATTGATGTGAGAGAGAAGCATCAATCATTTGCCTCTTGCACATGCCCTGATGAGGGACTGAACATGCAAAGTAGGCATGAGCCCTGGCTGGGAATCGTACCTTTTGGTCCACAGGACGATGCTCCACCCAACTGAGCCACACCAGACAGGGCTTATATAACTTTTATTATAGCATATTGTCACAATTGTTCTATTTCATTATTAGTTATTATTGTTAACCTCTTACTCTGCCTAATTTATGATTTAATCTTTACTATAAGTATGTATGTACATGGTTTCAGTGTACATGGTTTCAGTCATTGAGTGAGGGTCTTAGAATATATCTCCCATGCATAAATGAGACTACTATAATAGTAATCAATTAGTGTTGTGCAGAGCACCTATTTGAATAACATAGTTTGAGAGGAATAGTTTTTTTAGTAAGAGTGCTTTCTGTCCTGGTAAATAAAAGACCAAGAGTGATTCATTTCTGATATTGGCACAATGACTTTTATCAGATTAATTCTTCTTAAGATAAGTATACACTCTAGACAAAATATGGTAGCTATTTAATATGTTAGGCATAGGGCAAGGACCAAAAGCATTTAAAAACAGAGAGAGGACTCTATCCTTGACAGAAAAGAAGTACACTGGGCAAGTTTGTGTTTATATAGCTTTTCTCTGAGTGTCTCCTTCAGTCTGCATGGAATAGGATGGCTAGAACTCAGACAAGAAACCACAGTGTTACTGGCCTGAGAAGTCAGAGGGTAGAGGTAAGGGTGACAGAATGGTTGGAAGCTGATATGGATTATGCTTGAAAGGAGGGACCCACAGAGGGGAGAGCCAAAAAATCTGTTTGGAAACTCCACACAAATTCTTTCTAAATTATTATTATTATAGTTGTCCCAGATTTTCTCCCTTTGTCACCCTCCACCCAGCCCCCCCACTCCTTCAGGCAGTCCCTACACTATTGTCCATGTCCATGGGTCATGCATATATATTCTTTAGCTACTTTATTCCCTGTGCTATCCTTTACATCCCCATGTCTATTTTGTAAGTACCAATTTGTACTTCTTAATCTCATCACCTTTTCACCCATCCCTCAGATCCCCTCCCATCTGGTAACCATCAAAATGTTCACTGTATCTTTGATTATGTTTCTGTTTTGTTTGTTTGTTTATTTTGTTTCCTAGATTCAATTGTTGACTGGGAACCGAACTGGTGACCCTTTGGTTTGTAGGCTGATGCTCAATCCATTGAGCCACACCAGCCAGGCCTTATTCTTCTTCTTAAAGAAGACCCTTTAACATTTTATATAATCCTCATTTGGTGATGATGAACTCCTTTAGCTTTTTCTTGTCTGGGAAGCTCTCTGTTTTGATTCTTCAATCCTAAATGATAACTTTGTTGGGTAAAGTAATCTTGATTGTAGGTCCTTGCTTTTCATCACTTTAAATATTTCTTGCCAATTTCTTCTAGCCTGCAAGTTTCTTTTGACAATTCTGCTGAAAGTCTTATGGGAGTTACCTTGTAGGTAACTATCTGCTTTTCTCTTGCTGCTTTTAAGATTCTCTCTCTGTATTTAACCTTGGCATTTTAATTATGATGTGATTTGAAGTGGGCCTTTTTGGGTCCATCTTGCTTGGGACTCTGTGCTTCCTTGACTTATATGTCTATTTCCTTCACCAAGTTAAAGAAATTTTCTTTCTTAATTTTTTCAAATAGATTTCCAGTATATTCTCTTTCTCTTTTCCTTCCAGCACCCCTATGATGTGAATGTTGGTACACTTGATGTTGTTCCAGAGGCTCCTTACACTATTCTAGTTTTTTTGGATTCTTTTTTTCTTCTTGCTGTTCCAGTTGGTTATTTCTTACTTCCTTATGTTTCAAATCACTGATTTGATTCTTGGTTTCATCCACATTACTGTTGATTCCCTATAAAATGTTCTTCATTTCAATTAGTGTATCCTTTGTTTCTGACTGGATCTTTTTTATGCTGTTGAGGTTCTCAATAAGTTGCTTGAGCATTCCTATAATCAGTGTTTTGAACTCTACATTTGATAGATTGCTTTCCTCCAATTCACTTAGTTCTTTTCTGGAGTTTTGTTACTTCATTTGGGCCTGGTTTTTTGTTCCCTCATGTTGGCAGCCTCCCTGTGTATGTTTTTATGTATTAGGTGAAGCTACTACATCTCCCAGGCTTGGCAGAGTGGCCTAGTGTAGCAGGTGTCCTGTAAGGTCCAGTGGCACAGCCTCCCCTATTATCCAACCTGGGTACTTGAGTTGCACCCTGGTATTGGCTGTGTATATTCTCCTCTTGTAGTTAAGCCTTGATTGCTTTTTGCACATCCAAGGTCAGCCACAGCTCTTATTCTATCTGGAGTTGCAGAGCATTAGCTGCAAAGCGATCTACAGATGGCTGCTACTTGTGCTAGCCTTGGAGGTGCCCAGGCAAGGTAAAGCTGTGAACCAAGGCTAGCTTCTGGTAGTCCTGGGTCTGGGGCCACTTAGCAAGAGGTATGGCACTCACTGTTGCTTGTTTGAGAAAATTTAGGAAAATCTGAGCTTGGGCCAAGACATGCCATTTGTATGGATAAGCCACTGGAAACAGCTTTGGTGGACCTGAAAGTTGTATGAGGCAGGGCCTCAGGAATTCCCTGAGGATACAGCATGAGCCAGGTTGATTGAATCTCAGTTATGGCACCTGCCTGCCAGATCTGTGGGCTGTGGGGGGAGTGCTAAGAAAAGGAACAATGGCTTCTGCCAACAGTTCTTTCTGGGACAAAGCTGTCCCCCGATTCTTGGCCTGTTGCTGGACAATTCAGTTCTTCCCCATATGTCTCAGATGCCTTTCAATCTGTTGCCCCCATACTAGAGCTCAGAGGAGTGAGTCTGTGCATGAGCCCTTTAAGAGGAACTGCCTGAGACTGCAGCAGTTTCTGTCTTCCACCAACTCAATCCCCACTGGTATTTGCAGCCAGAAGTTATGAGGACCTATCTTGTAGGCATGGGAAACCTGGGCTGGAGGGCCTAGTGTGGGAGTGGGACCTCTTGTTCCTGCATATCCCTACTGATTTTTATCCACCACATGTGGGTGTGGGACCAGCCAGTTATGCATCTCTGCCCCTCCTACCAGTCTCATCGTGGTTTCTTCTTTAATTCCATAGTTGTAGGACTCCATTCAGCTCATTTTCTGATGGTTTTAAAAAAGAGTTGTTCTGTTGTTTAGTTATAAATATGATGTGGTTTTGTGAGGAGGCAAGTACCACATTTACCTATGCCTCCATCTAGATTAGAAGTCC